CTGGCTCAAATTAGGAACCAGTCTCTCTGGCCAGGGGAATGCCTGATTGGCTTAGGTCTGAGTCTACGAGCCATACAGTTTGATTTCTCTCAGAGTCGTGCAGCCCATTCCTGGAGCCGGGTCTAAGGGAGGTCCCGTGCTGCCTCCTCTCTCCCTAGAGGAAGCCCCGACGGGGCGTGCATGCTGGCCAGGAGTGCGGTTCCCAGTCAGTCTGTGCCATCACTCAGGGAGCAGAACGGAGGTCCTCATTGGTTCAGGAACCAGCCCAGGAAGGGGTAGAGTTAGCGTTTCTGGGCTTTCTGGCTTCAGCCCCCCCCTCCCCTGCAACACACCACCCTGCCTGGGTGAAGGAACGGTCTGGTGGGAGTGGGTGCCCTGCATCAGAAGAAGAATAGTAGCTTAATGGTTAACGGGGACAGTGCTTCTCCTTGAAGCCTGGCCATTCCCCCAGGAGCTGGGTGAATGGAAAGGTAGGTACCTACTTGTCTCTGCCTCTGTTTCCTCATTTGTACAATGGAAGTTGTGCTGCATCTTACCTCACTGGGGTGTTGTGAGGGTTCAGGGAAGCAATGCAGACAGTGAACTTGGAACAGCGCTCCAGCCTGAAGGGAGTCAGCACCTGACCTTAGATGCTGCTGCTCCTTTGTCTGGTGGGCAGTGACACGCACTCCTCCCTCCTCTCCAGCGTCAGAAGGGGGATGGAGGTGTTGATGGGTGTGAAAGCCTCCTGAGTACGGCAGTGTTATGGGGACTTAAAATTTGTAGAAAATTTCCAAGTGCATTGAAAGCCCCTTGCAGGTAGGTGTGTTTAGAACCTGAGGTATGCTGGGGAGGAGTTCGAAAAGCCGCCGAATCTGGTTTTTTGTAGAGCTTAATTCTGTCCACAACTTACTCACCATTCTTGCCTATGCTAATGATGTCCTAATGCCGCCTTGCCTCCCTGGCCTCCTCTTATTTTTACAAAAAGTTGATCATCTTCTCTGCACCCTCGTTCCATGTCCTCCCCCCGCCCCCCCCCCCGGATTTAGTGCATATATATTTTTTCCTTTGGGAGCATTCAGGGTGTGATGCAAATGACCTGGGTTGGAGGAGGTGTGGGGTGTCAGCTGGGGAGGGATCATGGGGCCTGTGCAGGGGAGGCGCTCTGCTGATTGTAAGCATTGTGTACACAGGGAATTTTCTTTCCTAAGAAGTAAGATGCTTCAGTTTACAGGGAAGAGCCTTGGGGCACAGAAAGAGAAGTGACAGGTGTTCAGACTCCTAGAGTGTTGGTGTGCCAAGATAGTTGTTAGTGCTGTTCACCAACTCTCAAGGTAGAGGAAGCCATTCTTTTGCTTCCTCATTCATTCATTCTTTCATTCATTGATTCATTCATTCATTCTCTAAGCATTAATTACTTACTAGTGCCCAGCAGTATTGCTTATGAAGAAATGTAAATTCTGCCTATTAGAAGGCACTTAGAGAAGGCAGCTTATGCATAGATAGCATTATGATGAGGTAATTAATATTATGTGCCATTTAAAAGTGGCCAGTGTGGGTTTAAGTGGTAAAGTGTAGGAAACTGGCTGCCTGTGGAATATTGTATATGTCTGCAAACTTTATTTAAAAATTTTTTAAATGTTTTTATTTCTTATTGAGAGAGAGAGTGAGCAGGGGAGGGGCAGAGAGAGAGGGAGACACAGAATGTGAAGCAGGCTCCAGGCTATAAGCTGTCAGCACAGAGCCTAACACGAGGCTTGAACCCACCAACTGTGAGATCCTGACCTGAGCCGAAGTCGGACACTTAGCTGACTGAGCCACCCAGGGGCCATGCCCCTTTATTTATTTATTTTTTTGGGTAAGCTCTTTGTGGCTGTACCTTAGTAGAATGTCGAGAAGTATCCTGTCAACCTTTGCAGAACATTAGATGCATCTCATTCCAGTTTGTATAAAATAGGAAGAAAAATCGTGCCAATTAAAAAAGGTGCAGAGGCATCGTATGGTGAAAATATTGTAGATTTTGGTCACTTCATGTGGAGTGATACATTGTGCTTCTGACATACAGTTTTGAACTTAGAAAGGGAAAGAGGTGTGATGTTATGAACGTAATGGGCGTAAATAGTAATTTCTAAAAATCACATCAGGTTGTGGAAGCGAGAGATCTGGGCTGAGTGCACTTGCGGCGGAATTAGTAGAAAGATCAACTCAAAAGTTTTATTAGGGTATCAAGCACTGATAGCATTCCACTGTTTGTACTGTTCGCTTAGGAAGGTAACATGGAAATTTTCCATCTGACACATTTATTTCCCCTCTTTAAGTTGGCAAACACTGACTTTTTCCACTGCATTTCTACATAACTGGACTCTTGCCAGCTCCCGTGTGTGTGTGTGTGTGTGTGTGTGTGTGTGTGTGTGTGTGTGTGTTAATAGCTAGGCATACTGTCACTGGTGCTGTTAGCTCAGCTTATCTGCACTTGGGGTTAAAGCTTGTTTCTCCCTGTAGACACGTTACACGAGTAGCAATCTGATCAGAGTTCTTTGCAAGTTTGTAAATGGTTTGAGTCAGATCACTCAGACTGACACAAATAACAGTTCTCCTGGCTGTTTGCAGCTGTTAGGACGATCCCTCTGAGAGCCTGCCCTGCTCCGCTGCTGTAGCTGTGAGATGGGGAACGTCACTCTCGTACTCTCTTGGTGCGAGCGGGTACACGAGATCTGCGCCTTTTGTGGCTTTCGGATGCTGGTTCTTCCACTTGCAAGGGTCGTCTTTGCTTATCAGTTCTCTACCCCCTCTTTTTAAAAATGTTTATTCCTTTTTGAGAGACAGAGCATGAGCAGTGGAGGGGCAGAGGGGGGCGGGGACAGAGGATTCGAAGTGCGCTCTGCGCGGACAGCAGTGAGCTTGATGTGGGACTAGAACTCACGAACTGCCAGGTCGTGACCTGAGCCGAAATCAAGAGTCTGATGCTCAGCCGACTGAGACACCCAGGTACCCCTCTCTACCCCTTCTTTGAAGTCCGGCTGAAACAGCCAAGCTGCTGCTTGTGGTGGGGAGTAGCGGATGGCTCCTGGGCCTCCACACATAACTGGGCTTCTCTGACATCGATCACAAGATGCCTTACGCTTTATGCACGTGCAGTGTGCCTTGCGCACGTTCATAGAATTGGCACTGTTATTCACATCCTGTGAAGGATGTGGGGCTTCACAGCTGGCACACCTAGTGCTGCCTGTCACCCCCTAACTGCTTCCAGAACTCCAGCTTCCTGGCTCCCACCCGGAGACTACCGTGCCTCTCCCACAGGATTGCCGTGAGGCGGTACTGTGGGCAGAGCCATCATTTCTTGAGGATTTGCTATATCCCAGCACTGGGGAGAATGCTTCATGTGACACCTTCCCTCTCACATTGCCTGTAAGTGTTCATTCCCTCCCGCCTCCCCTCCCCCCACCCCGTCCGCCATCCTGGGACAGAGTACTCACTGAATATTTCTCAAATGAATGAGAACTGGACTTGAGCTGGCAGCAGCATTCCGTCTGCTGAGTCAGCTGCCCTGAGTCAGCAGTTGGGAGATCTATACAAGCGTCGCGTCCAGAGTGAGAAGATAACCAACTAGATTGCAGTTCCCACCTCTGGCTGGAAGGGCGTGATTCCTAAGCATGATGGAGAGTTTATGGGGAAGGGAGAGTGTCATAACCGAACTACACTGTTTCTTTCCCACCACTTCTTACTTTCCCCTCCCCCTGTCCCTCCTGACCTGTTTGGTCTAGAAGAGGTGCAGATCTCATTCTGAGTCACTCCAGAACTTTACTGGGAATGCTGCATGTTTACCATAGCCCATGGAACGTAAGGACATTGTAGATTACATTCCTCCCCCCCCCCCCCATAAGTCAAGCGAAGTGCTGCACCTATTTAGTGGTAAAGGTCTTAGGAATGTTAGAGACTCATGAAAATCCCACCTAAATACAAAATGACATTCCCATCCTTAATAAGGGGATGGGAATCTTATAAGTGAGGGGATCTCCAGGTTAGTGACTCAGAGCTTTCCCACTGTGTTATTTCCATGAGCCATTGATTACAGAAGGGTGTAGCACACTGTGTTTCTCTTCCAGCTAGGCTATTCCCATCAAGTGGGGGGAGGGGGTTGGAAGCTTCTTAAAGCCCCTGAGGATATCCTTTCATGCATGAACACCACTGCATTTAAAATGATATTCTAGAGATGTTAGGTGTTATTTTTTTATTTTTATTTTTTATTTTTGCAGTTTCCACCCAGGCTTGTCTTGTTCCTGGGGAGCCCTCCGAACAGTACAAGAGTCTGGGTGAAGAGAATTTTCTGAGATGCATTGAAGGGTCAGTGTCCCCAGGGTGCTCTGTGCCTGAAGGCTGGAGTTAATGAGGAAGAGTTTTTTGGTGAATGTCAGGCATGTTGCAATAAGTAGCCACAATGGACTAGTCAGAGCAACTTCTACCACTTGGTTTCTTTGTTTTTGTGATGTTGCTGCATGCTTCTGTTTTATGAGTCTTTTCTTGTGTGGGGTTGGACCCATCTGTTGCCATCTTGGACTAGGATACTTGTATTTAAAAGGATGTGAAGAACAGAGAGAGAAACTGTTACACTGATAGAATGACATATCCTCAGCACTTACAAATTTATTTCCCTCCCTCTACTTCTGCTGACAGATATTCTGATGATTAATATTCCGATGAGTTTGTGTCTTTGGGAGAGGGAAAAAATGCCTTCCCTAAAGGGAGTCTTGAAAAGTACATCATAACAAGACCTAAGAAGTATTGTGAAAATGGACTTTTTTGTGTGATGTCAATGTCTTGGATGAAGACCCAGTCTGGTAATACTCTTTCTGAAGTAAGAATGAAATGCAATTTTCATTTGAAATGAAATTGATCAACAATGAGAATCGTCAGCATTCATTTTGGTTTGGTTTTCCAGGGCCAGTCATTTGTGCACTTGAGGGCGTCCGTCTTGATCGTAGCATCTACTACTCAAATGCCAATTTATATTTGAGCGAAAGCCCTAGAATAGAATATAAGGACTGGTGGAATTCTCAGCGTCACCATGGAAAGGCCTAACTACAGGATGTTTGTACATTATATACGTTGATTCCCAAGATGGAAGTCTGCGCAGCTCCAGCAGTAGTCGAGGGTAACTGTTGATAGTTGGCCTTCTGGGGACCACCTCTTCAGAAGGGCTGGGTCACAGCCTAGGTGGGGTATGAGGGTGAGGATATTGGATTCTTGAGGAGAAAGTGCCACTGTATGGACCCAACATATTCAGGGAGTGTGCCTCCATTTCTAACAGCCTGTTCTCAGGATTTTATATTCGAGTAACATTTCCATGTCTTCTCTGGTTACCTTTACTTAGAAAAGATGCCTAGGGCGGTCTCTGTGCTGTCTCTAGCTGTTTTCGGAGTTGTGTTCATATAATCCTGTATATTAGAAGATGCTTTTGCCATTTACCACTTTTTAAAAAGTTTTTCTCTCTCCATCTTACTATTGGTGTTTTTTTCCCCCACTTCTTTACTGTTTGACATCAGATCCTGTCAAAAAGCTGACACATTTTTCATGTTAAAAAAAAAAAAGCCATTTCAACAAGTAAGGCCCAAGAAGAAGGCAAAGTGCCTCGCTGCTGTGACCGTGTTCTGGAGGCCCTGAACTCTCAGGCACAAGGGAGGCGGAGGGTGTGTGAACGTGCGGAGAGGGTTAGCCATAAGCTCAGCCATCAAATTGGCCAGCCTGGTGACCAGCGCGCCCGTCCCCACCCTCTTCCCTGTCCTCCCCACCTCCCCGCCCCCTCCAGCGCTCACGCTCAGGAAGCAGCTGGCTGCAGGCCGGCCGTTGCGCCGCTCAACACTTATCCACACTCCTCTCGGGGCTGCCTCTCCTCCCTCCCTCCTCCTCCTCCCGCCTCCCTCCCCCCCGCAGCCCCGTCCACACTGCGCCGCCCCTGCAGCCCAGTGCGCGGCGCGCAAGGGCACGAGCGCCAGGGCGCACAGCATTGCCCCTCCCCGCACCCCCCACCCCACCCCCCACGCCCGCCCGCAGTCGCCCAGGCTCGCACCAGCGCTCCCCCAGCGGAACTGCCGCGAGAGCAATTAACCCGCATCCCGCACCAGCCCCCAGACGCACCCCCCCCCAACCCCCCGGGCCCGGGGCGAGGATGAGCCGGACAGGCGAGGCACCAAGTCGAAACTCAACTTTCTAAAAACAGTCGCGTGTGCATATGTACGTGTGTAGGGAGAGTGAGCTGATGCCGAGGGTCCAGCCGCCCCCCCGCCGCCGCCCCCGCCCCCTGCGGCCGCTGCCCTCGCACACGCGCGCGCACACACGGCGCTGGGGCCGGGTTTCCGCGCACCGGCCCCCGGCCGGGATGGGAGTTTTCGTTTCCGACGGAGGCAGAGCCCGCGGAGCGCGCTGAGGGGCCGGAGCCCCAGTCCCTCCTCGCGCGCGCTGGCCGCCGCTGTCACCCGCGGGCGGGCCGGGAAGGGGACCCGCACGCCCGGCTTTGCGGTGGAAATCCGGGTTACCTGGTAAGTGGACACCGTAGGAACTTGGCGCGCAGGCGGGAGTCGGGGGAGCCAGCGCTCAGGGGGACACACCGGCGTTGGAAACCGTTCTCCACGCTGAGCCGGGTGCAAGCGTACGCGCACCCCCGGCCCCAGAGTTTCTGCAACCCTCAATTAGTAACCAAGCCCTGTTGTGCGTTGCCCCAGAGCGCCTAGTGTCGAAGGCGGAGAGGAAGTCAACAAGGTGTTCCAGTTTTCTTTAATCAGGAGGAGATCGTGTTGTTGGTTTTTCTTTTAAACAGCAGGGGCCGGAGGGCTGCACCGTCAAGGCAGGTTGCAGGACGCACGGCTCCGGGAGTCCCCGCCGAAGGGAAACTTCGGAGAAGTGGGACCTGATGGGGTGGCGTGAGGTCCCGCGCGCGCACACACGGGGCCGGGGCTGCCTTGTCCGGCTCCCACGTGTGTGTGAGGTTCCACCAGGGACGTTTTTGCACGCCCGGGAGCGGGTCCCCGTCGCCCCAGCAGGTCCTGGCTTGGGGGTGCTCGAACTTGTCGCCGGGACCTGGCGGCAGCCAGGTCTGTAACCACCACCTCCCACGCCGCAGAAAGCGCAGACAGACCCAGCGGTCACCGTCCCCACCGGGTTGGGGTTCGTCACTCCGCGCGTGCGTTTTTAGGGGGCGACAGTGTGAGCGCTGTCTGGAAGCCGCCTGCGTCCCGGGCGCCCCGTCCGGCTCACGGCTCCAGCCCCGTACAGGACCCCGTGTGGGTGTGCGGGCGGCGGGGCCGCTCTCCGGAAGGCGTGAGTGCGCCCCCGGTTCTCCCCTGGACACACACCTTGCCCCGAGCGCCACTGGCGAGTTACTCACTGGAGCTGACAAGCCCCCGCGGGGACGAGGAAGTTACCCAAGTGTCTGGAAAGCTCGGCCCGGACGGATTTGTCATCCTGTGGATGATTCAGTGAGGTACCTGGAGGGAGCCGGTTTCTGGCGTGTGGGTCGCGCCCTCCCTCGCCTTGTCGGGGTGTTTGGGCGGAGCCCCGGAGCCCCGGCGCGCGGGTCCCCGTCCCCGTCCCGGTCCCCCGGCTCCGGCCGCGGGCCGGCGGCGGCGCCCTCTCGGCCGGGCTTACTCAGGACCGGGTTGCACAACAGGAAACCAGCGCGAGTTTGTTTTGTTTTGTTTTGCTGCGCTAGCTCGGGACGCGCCGGGGGTGAGGGTCGGAGGCAGCCCGGGAGTGGCGGGGTCTCAGCGCGCCCCCGCCGTCAGACCCGCCCCTCCGCTCGGGGTTGGGGGGAGCCGGGGGTCGGGGCCAGGGCCTGGAGGCCGAGCCGGGGGCAGACGCGGGCTGCCCTGCCCCAGGCGCGTCCGCCCGCCCGCCCCGCGGGTCCCCAGCACCTCCCCTGACCTCGCCAGCCTTCCCCCGGCCTGGGGAGGCCCCCGCCCCCCCTGCCCCGTACTCCCCACCCGCGGCTAGGCTTCCCGGGCATCTGCGGGGGGCGGGGGGGGGGGCATCCGCGGAGCATCCAGACCCGGGCCGGGGGGCGGGGGTGGAGGGTACTTCCGGAATCGCAGGGAGCAGCGTCTGTTGGGACCGGACTCTTGTCATCGCGGCCCCCTTTACAGGGAAAAGGGCTGTGCGTCCCCCTCTCCCGTACTCCCAGAGCCTCCGTGTCTCCCCGGAGTTTGGGCCGGGCGGGTGGGGGAGGGGTGCTGGAGTTTGCGGGGAGAGGGACGTACCGCAGCTCCCCGCAGCGGGCCGGTTCCCTCGGCTACGCGAGCGGGGAGTGTCAAGTATGGACTGAACGCTGGCAAGGCCCCTGGCGATGGCTGGGTCACCTACGAAGAGGAAACCGAGACCCAGAGACTTTGAGGGTTTTGTCCAGTCGCCCAGAGGCAGTTGCTACAGATGCTGGACACACACTCCAGTTTCCTAGTTTCCAGTGCAGAGAGCATTTCTTGGCTTGAAGATGAACTCAAGACAAATGTGAAGTCTCCGTGTCCCCACTGAAAGCTTTGATGAGCCGTCATTTCTGCCTTGGGAGTCAGCCAGACATCCCTTTCGCCTGTGGCACCTTCTCCATTAGACCACCCTCTTTTACACTAAGCAGGGAAGCTTTTTTTTTTTTTTTTCATTTTTGTATTTGGTTTAAATCTCCCCATTTCTCCTCTTCTCCCTTCTCCGATTTTACTTCCTCAGTAATGTGTTGAACAAGGGCGTCCTGCAAAGGTTTGCAGAAAAAGGATCTGCCCAAAATGAAGGTTGGGGGAAAGCTCGCAGCCCTGTGGAGACAGGAGTGTGTGATATTTTGCAGTATTGTTGCAACTGGGAACTTGCTGGAGTTCAAGGGTCACGTGTAAATGCACTACCGTTTTCATTAGTTGTCTGTGGCAGCCAGACTGGACCCTCCACTGCTTTTGAGAGGAGTAGGGGACAATTCTTTTCCAGTTACTTTCCCAAAACTCTTTTCCTTGTTGGCGAATGAAGTCTTCATTGTTGCTCGGACGACTCAACAGTTCTTGAGTATGAGTAGTTAAGTCTCAGTGCGGCTGTTACTCCCTCGTTGCCTGGTTTATGCTTGGCCAGTTTTTTTTTTTTTTTTTTTAATTTATTTCTAGGAGAGAGAGAGAGACAGCGTGAGCAGGGGAGGGTCAGAGAGAGAGGGAGACACAGACTGAAACAGGCTCCAGGCTCTGAGCTGGCAGTCAGCACAGAGCTCGACGCGGGGCCCGAACCCACGAACCGCGAGATCATGACCTAAGCGAAAGTCAGACGCTTAACTGACTAAGCCACCCAGGCGCCCCTACACTCGGCCACTTTTAAGAGGCATCTTTTTTCTGATTCCCCAGTTCCACCAAGTTCCCCAATAGTAGTTGGTTTGTCAGAGGCCGAATACCTGGGGTCTATTTGTTTGCTTGAAAGTGGTCATCATTCCAAGTAAGAAAAGCAACTTTTTGTGTGTGTATGTGGGGAGGTGGAGTGGACTCTAGGGTTCACCTAGTGGGTCAAATTCCTGTTGGGCCAAAATAGGCAGGGCAGGGGGGCTTAGATAATAGCAGACTAATGTTTTATACCAGCCTTGAATTCTTCCACATGGCGGAGAGAGGTCTTTCCATTGCTTCAAAAGAGAGCTGAGCGTTCTCAGTCTTTTTTTCTCTGAGTGTTCTTTCTTGCTAGTAAATTAAGTCTGAGGGCAGTCTTTTCACTTTTGTGTCTCTCTTATTGTAGGTACTGCTCTCTGGAGTTGGAATGTTAGTTTGTAATTCTTCTCGAATATAGATGAAGTGCCTCTTGAAGAAGATAATTCAGGAAGCGGCATCCAAGGCACACTCTCTTCCCTAGAGAAGTCGTTGTCTGTGTTTCTGTAATTATTCTCCATAGAGGGTATTAGAAAGGAGGTAGACATACAGGACTTGACTAACTTTTCACTAAGTCTGGTAGCTTCATAGGATCCATTAGGATTGAAAATAAAATTAAAAAATAGATCAGTGGTGGGGCGCCTGGGTGGCTCAGTCGGTTGACATCCGACTTCAGATCAGGTCATGACCTCACAGTTTGTGGGTTCCCGCTCTGTGTTGGCCTCTGCGCTGGCAGCCAGAGGAGCCTGGAGCCTGTTTTGGATTCTGTGTCTCCCTCTTTCTC